CAATTTTCCAGATTGGTGCCAGCATGAATTGAGAACTTGGTTTTTGGAAGGATCCAGTGCTGGAGAGTGGCAGTAAACAGGACAGGTTATCCCAAATGGCCTGGCCACTGAGCAGCACATGTTCTGCCTGCAAGAAAGCCTGGGTCAGGTTCAGGTGTACTTCAGTGCTGTAGTGCCTGCCTAGCATGCACAAGGCCTGGTTCCATCCCCAGTACCTCCTCCACAGGGCAGAAGCTGGGGGCGGGGGGGTGGCTGACAACTGGATAGGCCTTGTCCTCTGTCCTCCTGGGTATGATGCAAGCTGGACACTCCAGTACCCCTATGGCAGAAAGACTGCCCTCTAGAGCCTGGGAGGGAGAGCTAAGAGGCCTCACTCCAGCCCTCTGCCCTCCCTCCAGCTTCCTTGAGATGATGGAGGCTCGAAGCCGCGGTCACGCATCCCCTCTGGCAGCCAATGGGCAGAGCCCATCCTCAGGCTCCCAGTCGCCGATTGTGCCTCCAAGTGCTGTGTCCACAGGGAGCTCTAGCCCCAGCACACCCCAGCCCGCCCCCCAGCTGCCCCCCAGCACCTCCTCAGCCTGCCCCCCTGTGCCACCCATATCCTCTGCACCCTCCTCCGAAGCCCCGCCCCTTCCTGCACACCCCTCTATCCCTGCCCAACCCCCACCCCAGCGACGCAGCATCATCTCCCGGCTATTTGGTACCTCGGCAGCTGCAGATGTGGCCCCTTCACCTCCAGGTAGGCCCAGAAGCAGCCCTTTCACTAAGTGGACTCATGGAGTGGCACCCTGTGCCTGTGGCCCCATGTGCCCTGTATACCAGGATATGGCCCCCATCCCTGGCAAGCTTCCCCCTTCTTCCTGGGCAAGTGGTCCCATGGCCAAGATCTGGAGGCAGCTTTGGTCTTCAGCCCAGGCACACAATCCACCACCCTAACCCCTTGCTGCCCTGGGGACAGGCCCACAGAGGGCTCAGGAGCCGGCATCTGTTGTCCACAGAACCTGCCCCAGCCGTAGAGGTCCCAGCAAGAGTCCAGAATGTTGAGGACTTTGTTCCTGAAGACAGGCTGGATCGAAGCTTCCTGGAAGACACAGTCCTGCCCAGGAGTGAGAATGGTGGTGCAGGCCCACAGCAGGACAGCGACAGGTGTGGATAGTTGGCAGACCTGAGCACAGATGTCTAAGACACCCCTGGGGGTGTCACACAGCATCCCTGGTGTTCTCTGGGAAGTAGTCAGCACTGAGGACAGAAGCAGAGCTAAGTGGAGAGCAGAGGGAAGTGCCTGGGCCCTGAGCACATCCCTAGGCTGGTCCACTTGGAGGTTGTAGGCAAGGCCACCTGGGTTTCAGATTTCCTGGTGGGCCAGAGCAGGCGCTTCAGAGAGGAGGGATTGAGCTAGGTGTACATACTGCCCACTGGCACATACCTGTAATCCCAGTAACTTGGGAAGCCAAGGCAGGATAATTTTATGTTCAAGGCCAGCCTTGGCAGCTTGGCAAAACCTTGTCTCAAAATAAAAAGGGCTAGAGGCATAGCTAGGTAGTAGTGCAACCCTAGATTCCATCCCTAGTAACCCCCTCAAAAAAAAAATTAATACCTTGGTAGCTGCAGATGTGGCCCTTACACCTGTGGCCCATGTGCCTTGCATACCCGGATATGGTACCACAACCCAGAGCTGGATTCTGAGCCATACCCTTCCCCTTGGGTCTGGCCTCTGGGGCCAGCCCCTCTTGCCACTCTGCCCTAAGTACCATCTCCAGCTGATCCCCAGATTCAAACCCAGGTTCCAGTCCCACTTGGCAGATCCCACTGTGGGTGGCCACTGGCATTCCCAATGTCACCACATCATGGTGAAAGTGGGCTTCTCTACCAGAAATGCATAGATGGATAAGCCCAGGTGCCCAAGCTGGGTTCCTTTTCCCACTGGCCACCCCACTGGCTAGCAGCAGGCACCACTGCCCACCTCCCCACCCATCTCTGCTCAGGTCTCCTCACTGGAGCACACACCCAGGGTGGGACAGCCCCACAGGCAACCGGGGTGAGGAGCCAGCAGTACATGGTTCCCTGTGGCCTCTGACTGCCCTGCCCCTCCTTTGCAGTGACGGGGAGGCCTTGGGAGGGAACCCGATGGTAGCAGGTTTCCAAGACGATGTGGATCTTGAAGACCAGCCCCGTGGCAAACCCCTGCTGCCCTCTGGCCCCATCCCCAGCACACACATCAGTCTTTCGAGTGAGGAGGAAGCGGAGGAGGTGGCAGGTCACTCCAGAAGTGTTGCCCTGCCTCCCCAGCAGTGCTCACAGCCAGAGCCAAAACGGTATGGGTGGGGCCCCCAGGGAATGCCCAGGAGCTGGGGGACAGGGCAGCCCAGGGTGGCCTCCAAGTTCCTGACCCTTCTTGCCATGAAGGTCATCCAAGGCTTCATGGCCACAGAAGACAGCAGTTCCCACACAAGCAACAGCGCCCTCCTGGCCAGGCGGGCTTCCCACTAGCTCTAGGCCTGAGAAGCTCAGCAGCTCCAAGCCACCCAAACTCGCCACCAAGGGCTCCTCTCGCAGACCTGGAGATGGTAAAGATGGACAGGTGTCGTCCTCAGAGAGTGATCCCGAGGGGCCCATTGCTGCCCAGATGCTGTCTTTCGTCATGGACGACCCTGACTTTGAGAGCGAAGAGTCGGACACTCAGCGAAAATTGGTGAGGACAGGTTGCTTGCTGACTGTCCTCCTGAGAATGGAGGTCAGGAGGTGAGGGCCCAAGAAGATGGGTCAGTGCTGGCTTCCTGTCCTGCTATGACACTGTGCCGCCTGGGAACAGTAGATGGGGCCTGTGCAGGCTGTCCCACATCCTACACAGGCCTTGCTGGTGCTGACTCTAGGGTGGGCTTGGAAGCATACACACCTGTCTCTGGAGTCCCCTGAGAACTCCCCACCTTGTTTCAGGGAACCATGGGGGTGGAAAGGGACAGTGGCCCTACCAGCTTCTCCTTGTCCAGGATGAGCTCCCTGTGAGAGAAGACCCCTCTGACGTGACTGACGAGGACACCAGCCCGGCCCAGACACTCCCACCACCCAGGCCTCCTGTGCCCTCCTTCAGAATGAAGAATGATGCCGATCTCTTTGGGCTGGGGCTGGACGAGACAGGACCCAAGGAGAGCAGTGAGGAAGGTGGGCATGAGTGGGATCCATTAGCCTCTTTGGAGCCTGGAGATACAGGCCATGATCCTTGTCCAAAGGCCAGTGTTAAAGAGTCAGCCCAGCCTGAGCTTTTTCCCTTGGGCTAGCTGTTGGCCAGTGGGGTCTTCCAGCTATGCTGTACCTCCTGGTGTGGCCCAGGACTGAGGCAGCCACATGCACAAGCCTAATACCAACAGTGTGGGGCAGGGCCAAAGCCTGAGAGTTTGAACTTCTAATCCCCAGATGTTCACTGTTCTGCCAACACCCCAGGATTATGAGTGTTCTAGGGCTGTGGCTTGGGACCAGACTGGAGGGGTGGACAGCTGGGGGTCCACATAGCAGGTACTTGGTGGCAGCACTCTTGAGAGCTTGCATCTACTCCAAAGTTGGCCTCTAGTGTGGACAAAGCTGCTGTGATCTGCAGTTCTGAGCACACGTGGTTTTGCTGTGGTTCCAGCCCCAGCAGGCTGGCCCTGGTTCTCCACTCTCAGACCCTGACCAGCAGCTTAACCCTGCACTGTAGCAGGAGTTTCCTCCCAGGCCTATTCATGGTGTGTCAGCCTGAGCACATGAGAGACTCCAAGGTCACCCGTGGCCAGGCCCGACCTGCAGTGGGCTGCTGCAGAAGCCTCTGCCCAGCACGCCACCTGGGCAAGGTAGCCACACAGCTGAAGCATGTCTCCCACACAGACAAAGATGGCAGGCCGCTCACCAAGGAGAAGAAGAAGAAGAAGAAGAAGAGCAGAGAGGTATCAGCCACCCTCTACTGGCCTGGGCCTGTGCATTGGGGGGAGGTAGGCTATGGCCCCCTAGTGGCCCCAGGTGACTGACTGTCCCCCTGCCAGGAAGAAGAAAAGGCCGCAAAGAAGAAGAGCAAACATAAGAAGAGCAAGGACAAGGAGGAGGGCAAGGAGGAGCGGAGGAAGAGGAGGAAGCCCCCTCGAAGCACCACCGAGCTAGAGGCCTTCCTGGGGAGCGGGGCCCCAGGCCGGCACCCTGGGGGTGGAGACTATGAGGAGCTGTAGCCTGCACCACTGTTCTGGGAAAGGACCACCCTACCGTGTGTCCCAGCCATCGCCTTCACCCCCTGTGGCCTGGCCCAGCACGCTCTGCACTTGCTTCCTTGCTGGAGGAGGCCCAGGGCCAGGCCTTGGTGGCCAGAGGCCTCTGGCCAGGCGCCACAGGTGCTGGGCCTCAGGCCAGCATGAGCCTGCTCTACAAGGAGGGAGGGGACAGCTGGGCTGCAGCTGGCTTGGTGGATGACCTGGTCCTCTCCAGGAAGAGCCACAGCCAGTCCCCAGCGTTTCTCAGGGAAGTGACTGAGGCAGAGGAGGGACCCGCAAGGGTCTGTTTTCAGAGGCAGGGCATGGGGCTGCTCTGCTTCTCAGATGTCCACCACCCAGCCCTGCTCCTGCTTGCCCTCCCAAATTCTCCAGGGCCACAGCATGCCAATGGGTTCTGCTTCCTGTCGCAAGCCTTGGGCTGTGGACTATCCCTTCCCATGGACCCTGAGCACAGGTGCACACTCATGGGAGAGTGGCAGCACCCGCCTTGCAGGGTGAGGCCTGTCCTGGGAGAGGGTGGGTGCAGCTGCACCTCTGCACAGGTGAGCCAGGGTGGAGCTGGAGGCACCTTTCAGACACTCCACTCAGACTATAAAGCTCTGGTTTTACCACTGCGTCTGTTCTTTTCCTTTCTTTGGCTCTGTGAGCCATCTGTGGTAGGACCAGCCTACCACTCCTTCACCTAGGTTTCTTAACAACCCCAAACGCCTTCTCCAGAAGCAGCTTCCCTCACCCAAGAGTGGTCTCTGACTGACTTACCACTGGCTGCCTCAACTCAGCCAGGGGCCCCACCTGGCGCTGGATGTGCTATGTGCTGTCCATGCTGAACTGCCAAGGCTCTCTTGGGTGTAGTGCACCTAGGCCAACTCCAGGCAGCTGCTGCAGAATACCCAGGGCCCAACCCAGTGAGGCCAAATGTGCCCTGCCCCATACAGCCTCCCTTCCTCCTGGGCAGTTGCCTGCAGCCTTTAGAGCCCCACCCTCACCAGCAATCAGCAGCTTCCAGCCCCCGCCCACCATAGGATGTTGCCATGGAATCCTCCAGGGGCCAGCAGGCAGAGCTGCTAGCTGGTGACGTTAGGGATGGGGCACAGTGCAGCATCTGCCCATGCAGTAGGCCAGGCCAGCCTGTCTCAAATGCCCAAACTCTCCCCTTAGACCCCTGTCAGGGTGCAGTATGTCCTGGAGGCACGGTTCTCCACTGAGCAGGTCTGTGCCAGGAATCAGCTGACCTTAGAGCCTGGCCTTGTGGCCCACAGCTTGTGAGGTCCTGACGTGGGACAGGTTCATGGCAAATGAATTTGCCCAGGACCACACAGAGCAGCCCTGTGGTGGCCCCAGTAGGACACTAGTGGGGGCCCTACCCAGCAGGACAGGACAGGGGAAGTACCTCCCCCTGACAGACAGCAGAGGCATCCTTCCCCTCCCCACTCAGCTGGAATAGCCCAGGGCTTGGTACTTGGGTCACAGGGCTGGCAAGAGTTGGAGTGAGGACAGAGCCATGTGGCTGAAGAATAAGCCACATGCAGACCCTCCTGGTGGGCAGTGGGCAATTGCAGCCAAGGGCCCACTCTGGACTGAGTGAGCCATCTGGCTCCAGGTACTTGCTGAGATTTTGGCACCTCAAGCTCCAAAATAGTACCTGGGAAGACTGACAGGGCAGGGAGTTACCCATCTGCTCCTGCCTGGGCCCAACCAGAGACATGCATTCTGGGAGCCCCTGACCAGTATGCAGTGAGGCCAGGGCTTGGGGCTCCTCCAGGTCCCTGACCTAAGGCCCTGCCAAGCTGCCTGCTGCTTGTGCAGGTGCCCTGGAGATGGTGCTGGTGAGACCATCAGGCTTCTTCCTGGACGTGGTTCAGGACCCTGAGACCTGTATTTTGGGAATGTTGAAAACCTTGTGCTCAGCAAAGCTCCAAAGCAGAGCAAGAGCAAACCAGTTGGGGCCTTAGCCCTGCTGCACAGCCCCCACCGGGTGCGGCCCCTTTAAGTGCTGCCCCCTTGGCTGCCATTGGGGGCAGTACTGAGCAGCCAGGCCAGGATCAGCGCTGCTGCCTGGAAGCTTCTGCCGGTGCCCGGGCGCAGCAGTGCGGGGGGGATACAGAGGACCCGGCTGGAGCTGGTGCAGCCCACCCAGGATTCGGGCAACATCCAGGTAAGAGGCCAGGGTGAACTGCCTAGCATGCTATTGTCAAGCAGAAGCTATCTGAGAGGATGGGACATCCCCGCCCCCAAGCAGCACAGGCTAGTTCCTGCGATGGTTGCTCCAGGACAGGCCAGGGCAGGGCTGGGAGGTAAGGAAGGCTGCTTGGCCATCCGTGTGGGCTCCAGAAGACCCAGGGTCCTGGAGTTGCCCAACGCCACCCGATCCCCACAGGGAGGGGGTGTCAGAGTCCAGGTCCTGACAGCCGCAGCTGGCAACGCTGGCTGTCACCTCCCTGGGGCGGAGCCTCACACCCTGTCATCCAGCCTAGATTCCAGCCTGGCCTTGAGCTTAGGATGAAAGAGGGGTCTGACCGGTGTGGGTATTAGCCTGGGATGGGGACATAGACTGGACTTAGTAGCCCTGACCCAAAAGCAGCCCTGTGAGCAGAAAGCTGATGCCCAGCTGGGACACAGTTGACCCTTCACAGCCTGTCCACCTACAGTCCTGCCAGGTGAGGGCATGGCTAGCCCCTCATTAATTCCCCCAGTTTATCCTGGGGCAGATGCCCCCAAGTGGGTGCTGAGTAGGAGGAGGAGGGCTGTCACCTCTTTCTGAGCATCTCCCCAGCCAGCCTCTGGCCCTGGGGACCTGGAGGCTCTGGTGGCCCATATCTGAACCCGAGCCTGGACCCAGCCAAGCCTGCAGCTCAGGGGCTGAAGAACCACAGGTTTCCATGGAGCCTTCAGGAGTGGAAGGAGGAGGGGGTAGGGCCCTCTCCTGGGAGGCAGTGGGGGAGCTTTCCCCGCCCTCCACCCTGCCTCCCCCCCCACCCCCCGCAGCTGGCAGCCTCCTGGCCGAGTGAGCTAATTCTCAGCTGAGGAAGATGGATGCCATAAGTACATGGTTCCATGGCCTGGGCCTGACTTTGAGGCTGCCATGAATACACCAGGCGGTGTCCATGTGCACTTATGCAAAGCTGGTGGGGACGATCTTCAGCCTTCCTTGCCTGCCCCATCAAGCCTGGTGGATTTCAGCCACCCCAAGACAGCTGGGGTCAAAGGAGGCCCAGGCATGCTCTCTGAGGACTTTTTTATGGCCTGGGCCACTCGGAGTTGAGGACATTTTTGCTTTGGATGCTTTGGATGCAGTCAAGTGTCCCCAGCCCTGTGTACTGACCAGGCTGAGCACACCAGGTACTGTGCTCAGCCTGGTCAGCAGGCTAGTGGGGATGTCTGAGACTTTCTGTAGGACTGGCTAAGGCTAGGGTCCTGGGACTTGCCCTCTCACTTTTCACAATTAAAAGGGTCACTCTGCATTGGGCATTGTACGGGAATCTATACCTGTAAATCAATTCCAGTAAAGCTAAAATGAGCCCCATCATTCCAGCTGTGGACACCAGAGGGCAGTAGTCCTAGGACCATTTCCCCACTTTCCTCTCCTACCCACCTGCCTGCTCTGCCAAGAAAGGGGGTTCTGTCTATCCAAACCTGCCCAGGGGTCACTAGCAAGGAGAGGAATTCTGCCTAGGGACAAGAAGGCATGGACCACTGCAGGCTAAGCCCTTCAGGCTGACCTGGCCCACCCCCATCTGCAGGAATCTCTAAGGTCAGCATGGGTACCTCTAAGGCCGGCATGGAGCAAGCGCCTGCGGCCTTGGCAAAGGCCTGCAGCCAGGGTTGCTTCACTCCCTGCGCCCCAGGTAAGCCGGGCCAGGGTGGTGGGAGGGTAAGGGGCCTGGGCTGCAGAGGGGGCTGCCCTGACCCGCGTCTCCCCCCAGGGCAAAAGCCCCAAAAGGCCGCGTGAGCTGGAGCCGCCAGCCTGGGGACGTCTTTTAAGATGACCCGCACGGACCCACCGGACCTGCTGGTGTCTACCGTGTACCAGGACATCAAGGTGGCGGCCCCGGGGCCAGCGTCCAGGCGCCAGCCATGTGAGCAATCCGTGGCCCGGCCTGGTGCGCCCGCGCCTTTCAACAAGCGCCACTGCCGCAGCTTCGATTTCCTGGAGGCACTGGACGGGCCGGCCATGGAGGCCCACTCAGAGCCTCCACTCCCGGAGCCCGCTGCTCCGCGCGCGCGGCCCCGAGAAGGCGAACCTCGGCGTCGCGCCCGCTCCAAGAGCGCGCCCCGCGCGCCCCCGGGCCTGGCACCGGCGCCCACCTCGCCGCCGGTGCTGCAGCGCCGAGGCCGGGAGACTCAGCGTGCGATGCGGGTAGAGGGGTCGCCTCGCCGGGAGCCTGCGTACCCCGCGCTGCGCGCTCTCGCCAACGAACTGCACCCTATTAAGCTGCAGCCACAACGGAGCGGCCCTGGCCGCATCACGCCCCTGTGTGCCGCCCCTGGCCGCTGTGCGCCACCAGAGCCCCCCACGGGGCCCGCCCCCCATGTCCGATGCCGACTGGACATCAAGCCAGATGACGCTGTGCTGCAGCACGCCGCCCGGGGTTCGCGGCCCTGTGGGCCCGTAGACAACACGTCCTGGGCCCGTGCAGCCCCGCAGTTCCATGGCCTTACGGTGCCTGGTCCCCGCCACGTGGCGCTCTCGCGTACCCCCACCCCCAGTGACTTGTACTGTGCGGACCCCCGGGCGCTGTACTGCGACGGGCCCCTGCCTGGGCCTCGGGACTACTCTGAGCGCCGCAGTCAGCCCTTCAGCACACCTCCAGGCCCTACACAATTCTTCTACACCGAGGAGCCTGAGGGCTATGCAGGAGGATTTCCCGCCAGCCCTGGTCCTCCCTTTGATGGCTACTGCCCTAGGCCCTACCCATCCGAAGAGACCCGGGGTCCCAGTCCGAGGCGTGGGGGCGGCTACTATGGAGGGGAAGTGCGCACTTTCCCGATCCAGGAACCACCCTCCCGCTCCTACTACGGGGAGGTCCCCAGGGCCTATGGACTGCCCTTTGTTCCCCGCTACGTTCCTGAAGATCCTCGGGCCCACACCTTTTATACAGAGGACTTTGGGAGGTACCGCGAGCGTGACGCCCTAGCTCGGACTTACCCGCACTCACGCAACAGCTCAGCCTGGGCCGACTGGGGACCCCGGCCTTACCGCACCTTGCAGGTAGTGCCTCCCTCGGTCCCCGGCCCGCTGTTGGCCTCGTGGCATGGTGGCACCGGCACCAGCCCGCCCCGGCTGGCCACAGACAGCCGCCACTACTCACGCTCATGGGACAACATCCTGGCGCCAGGGCCCCGCCGGGAGGACCCCCTAGGCCGGGGCCGCAGCTATGAGAACCTGCTAGGGCGGGAGGTGCGGGAGCCGCGGGGCGCATCCCCCGAGGGCCGGCGCGCGCCAGTAATAGTGAACTTGTCCACCTCACCCAGACGCTATGCGGCGCTCTCTCTGTCTGAGACCTCGCTGTCCGAAAAGGGCCGTGCCGGGGAAGGCCTGAGCCGTAACTGGTATGTCACTCCAGAGATTACCATCACCGACAACGACCTGCGCGCCGCCGAACGCCCGACTGTCAGGAGCTGGGAACTGCCGGGAGGCCGGCCGCGTCTGCCCGCGTCGGCGGCTCCCATGGGCCCCACCTCTGGCCGCCAGCGCAGCCTAGAGCAACTAGACGAGCTCATTACCGATCTGGTCATCGACTCCAGACCACCGGCCGGCCAAGCCCCAGAGCCGGCGGCAGAGGGGCTGGGCCGCCAGCTGCGCCGCAGCGCGCTGGACTCACGGCCCGCGGGCCCTGGAGCCCCGGCGCTGGCGCCTCCGCGTTCGCCCCCTGCCTCTGCTGGCAGCGTCGAGGAGCCTGCAGGCCCGGGCGAGGCAGCCAACGGGTCTCCAGAACCCAGTGCGGACGAGGACGATCTGATGACCTGCTCCAATGCGCGCTGCCGGCGCACGGAAACCATGTTCAACGCCTGCCTCTACTTCAAGTCCTGCCACAGCTGCTACACTTACTACTGTTCACGCCTGTGCCGCCGCGAGGACTGGGACGCACACAAGGCGCGCTGCGTATACGGCCGCGTGGGCAGCGTGTGCCGCCACGTGCTTCAGTTCTGCCGTGACAGCGGCCCCGTGCATCGCGCTTTCTCGCGCATCGCTCGTGTCGGCTTCCTGTCCCGCGGCCGCGGCGTGCTCTTCCTGGGCTTCCCAAGTCCTGGCTCGGCCGACAACTTCCTGCGCTTCGGTCTCGAAGGGCTGCTGTTGTCGCCCACTTACCTGTCCCTGCGCGAGCTGGCTACACACGCAGCGCCCCTGGGCAGCTATGCGCGAGAGCTGGCGGCCGCAGGGCGGCTCTATGAGCCGGCCGAGTGCTTCCTACTCAGTGTGTCGGTGGCGGTAGGTCCGGGCACCGCGCCCTCTGGGGCGCCCGCTCGGCCGGCGCCCGCGCCTCGCAGCACTGGGCCCACTGTGCGCAAGTTCGCCAAGGTGGCACTGGCTGCAGGCAGTCCGGCGCGGCCGCCCCCCGTGCGGGGCCGTGAGCCTGACATGGAAACATTGATTTTGACCCCGCCACCAGGCACGGCGGGCCTGGACCAAGAGGGCGAGGCGGGCCGGCGGGCTAGAGAGGTGGCCTTCATCCACATCCAAAGGGAGCTGCGGCTGCGAGGTGTATTCCTGCGCCACGAGTTCCCGCGCGTTTATGAGCAGCTCTGTGAGTTCGTGGAGGCCAACCGACGCTTCACGCCCACCACCATCTACCCCACAGACCGGCGCACCGGCCGCCCCTTCATGTGCATGATCATGGCTGCTTCTGAGCCACGCGCGCTGGACTGGGTGGCCAGCGCCAATCTGCTGGACGATATCATGTGAGGCTTGAGGACACCAGACTCAGGCCCTGATCAGAATCCTTGCCTAGCCCACTCAGGCCCCGCCCGGTCCACTCAGGGCCGCCCCCGAGCCCCGCCCAACTCACTGAATCCATCCAGGCCCAGACCAGCCCCTCATGCTGCTTCTCTTGAGCCCTGCCCGGACAAATTTCCCAGCTCCCCCCATTTTCCCACACCCCACTGTGCTCTCCCAACTCTTTCCTCCCCACAACAACTCACCGGGCTGCCCAGTTCCCATCTTCCAGAGTCAGCCCTCCTGGCCCACAGAGACCGGTCCTCGCCCTAGGTGCTCCCCGCTGGGAGGTGGGGTGGGCCAGAGGACCTCCAGGCTCTGCCTTTTTGCTGAGGGTCACTACTGCACAGACCCTGCAAATGGATCCATATCTGCTCTGGGGCTCTGATGAAGCCTCTGCTCTCCCTCCCTGCTCGTCCAGGAGCCTGTGTTGACCAAAGTCTAGTATAGACACTTTAAGCTCACCTCCTGTCTCTGGGGTGTGATCCCCTCAGAGACCTTTCTTCCTGGAGAACACCCTGATTAGCTTTCGTGCATTCATGCCCCAAGTGAGAAAGCTATGTGTGAGTGCCGAGCCGGACTCTGAAGTGTTGCTCATCCTGCAGCCTCTCACCTCTGACCACCTTGGTCTAAGTCTTGCAGGAGAGGTTGGATACTCAGAGGTCTTCAAGCCAAGGGCAAGCCCACCAGCCAGAGGGGATTTGGGGCAGGAAAAGCAGAGCATCTGGGTGTGGGCACATGCCAGGCAAGGGTCTGGGGTCTGCCCATACCCAACAAGATGGCCCTAGACAGGTGCCAGAGCAGAACCTGGTGGTGGGCATGCAAAGGCAGGCCCTAATTTGGCAGGAGATCAGAAGCATGTACATAGGATGGGCCAGCTGGGAGGACAGCACAGAGGCCTTCCAGGAAGCTACATCTACCTGCTGCCAAAGGAAGGACCTGGAAGGTTCAGGGGGATCCTCAGCTAGTTGCTGGGTAGAGAAAGAGGAGTGAGTTAGCAGCCAATGGAGTTTCAACTGAAGAGCTATGTGACAAGCCCGAGGTCAGGTCCCTCCACTGCACGATTGCACACAGGTCCCAGTGCTTTCACTCTGCTACTCACGAGCTTGGTATGCCTTGGGGAGCGCATACCCAGACGGCCCTACGCTGTGCCCTCTCCCCACCACTCTTCCCTTGGGCATCCTGCTCCGCACCGGGGCTCCAAAGAGGACTGAGAAAGGAGATAAGCCAGGCGCTGTGCAAGGGTCCTCGTGGATCCTCTAATCCCTTCGGAGCCAGAGGAGGGGGCATTAAGCGCGATAAATTGTGAGCCCTGCCTCCGCGCCCTGCTCTCACCCCTGACGGTGTCTCCACCCCGACACTCCTGAGCCCCCGCCCGGGCCTGCGATTTGCACCGGCCCGGTGCCCCGCTTGCTGCAATCGCTGCTGCGCCCCGCCACGGGACCTCCGCATAGGGCCCCGCGCCTGAGGGCCCACAGGAACGCCCCTGGACGGGAATCGTTTCTAGAGGGCGAGCGCTTTCAAACCAAGTAAAATAGAACTTGAATGTAGCTGCTGCTTGCTGTCTCTTCGTGGGTGTCTGGGGAGGGAGGTCACTGGTCGCGGGGGGGGGGCGCTCTGGGAGGGAGCTCCTCGGCCGGTGGGGTGCGACCCTTGGGCGTCGGTGTGTGCTCGGAAGCGTGGCACTGGGGACTGGGGGGTTTCCTGGGCGCATCCCTGGGGCCTCCTGTCCTACGCCTGCTTCACGGGCCGCGTAACAGTCCCCCTCCAAAGTGCCTTCCCCCAACCCCAGTGAAAAGGAATTTTTCCGTCGGTTGCCCGTAATCGCTTCTCGTTTCCCTAGTCCACTTTCCCTTTAAATGCGGCAGCGTGGGCACAAGGCTGCAAGGAACTGCACCGCGATTGGTCAGTCCGTGCCCCAGGTCCGGGGCACGACTGGCTGAGGCTCCGGGCCTCAGGCAGCATCTACCCACGGGATTGGCCATAGCTGTCATAGAGCCCGCCTCCGACACTCGGCACAGCCCAGGGTTGGATGGGAGAAGGGACCGCGGCACCGGGGACAGGCACTCCGGAGAACATGGCGGCGGCGGATCTCGCCCAGATTCCTGAAGTAGACATCGATCCGGACGGCGTCTTCAAATACGTGCTGGTCCGAGTGCACTCAACGCAGCCCTCCGGGACTCCGGCCGGGGAGTGCAAGGAGATCGTGCGTGGCTACAAGTGGGCGGAGTACCACGGTGAGGGCGGGGCGCGCCTGTGGGCGGGGCCGGGAGGCTGTGGGCGGGGCCGGAGAGACTGTGGGTCCTGGTGGGCTTCGCCCTGCACCAGCAGCACCCAGAGAGTCTGGGTCCTGCTCAGGAAGGGGTGCCACGGCCCGACTCCTCCCTAGCCCCGGTGCTCGCCCTGGAGCATCCCATTGAAGCCTTCATCCCTGTGCCAGCCGGGAGCGGCTTCCTTTCCACTGGGGAAGGGGCTGCTCAGAGGTGGCCTCCAAGGGCACCCTGAGCACTTCCTGAAGCTGTTCTGCACATCCCAGCCGACATCTACGACAAAGTGTCTGGCGAACTGCAAAAGAAGGGCTATGACTGCGAGTGCCTGGGGGGTGGGCGCATCTCCCACCAGAGCCAGGACAAGAAGATTCACGTCTATGGCTACTCCATGGTGAGCCCTGTTTGAGGTCCCTGTCCTGGTTACAAAGTGCACTGGACCATTTGACCCCACACAGAACGACCTGACTTGCCTCACAGGAGACCTGGATTCTCCCAATGGGTTCAGAACCTTCTCTCTCTCAAGGGCCTAAGGCTTCCCCTACATTTTGCAAGTGGCACTATGGGTGGGATGCCATTTGCCTTGGAACAGGAGGCTGGGTGGGTCTCTCCCTGACCTGGGGGGCTCTTGGGGGCATTCATTGCTAGGGTGCAACTCAGAGCCCACAAGCTCACTTCTGGAGCCCTCTGTGCCCCCACCTGTATATGCCCAGGACTGTCTGGTGGTTGGTTTGGTATCCCTTCTAAGCCCACTCTTGGCCTGGCTGGACTCTCAGAGCCAAGGGCCAGGTGGAGCTAGTAACTGTCACCTTTCCAGGGCTATGGTCGTGCCCAGCACTCCGTCTCAACTGAGAAGATCAAGGCCAAGTATCCTGACTATGAGGTCACCTGGGCTGATGATGGCTACTGAGGCCCAGCCCCCACTGAGGACTCTGTCCTTGCTGGAATCCCTCCTGAGAGGCTGGCCCAGCCCTTTTCTTTTGCATTTCTTGGCAATGTGCCAGCCCTTTGGGCGTCAGAGGCCAGACCAGCCTGGCTTGTGGAAATTAAAAGCTTGGTATGCCTTGCGGTTCCTGTGTCTTGGCTTCCTGCCCCTTGGTCATAACTGGGGACCCCTCTACTCAGCCTCTGGAGGCCCCAGGGCGTGGCAGTGCACACTTAGCCCCTTGGGTCTGATAAGGGGCCCTAGGGTACTCCCATTTATGGTCTGATTGCTCCTTTGCAACTGCTATCCCCAAGGACACCCGGGAAGAGGCCCCACAAGGCCTTGCACAAGGAGTCAGTACCTGGTCCCCTGTGGCCAGGCGAGGCCTGAGATACACAGGTGCCCCTTTCCAGAGCTTAGCCCAAGGTTCCCGGCAGGGGAGCTCCAGTGGCCACTGTCCTGGCCAGCTAACATTGGCTATCACAGGCTCTTAGGACCACCTTGGAGGCTTCTTGTGTGGCCAGAGCAACTGCCAGCCAAGGACACAGATGATGTGACCCACAGCCTTTGCTTTCAGGGTTGAGTTCTGTGGCCACACATGAACCACTACTGGGTCCCATTCACTCTGACTTCCAGCTTTTAGAGCCCTCTCTCCTGGACACTCTCACACCCTCAGGACCTTGGCCCCTGCCCTGGGGCCCCCAGGCACAGTAGGACATAGTATGCAGTGACAGTGGGTGCTGGGGGAAGCCAGGGCTAAAGCTGGCAGTTCCCACGGCTAGACCCTCCAGGCCACCTCTCCAGGCAGGCCCTTTGCAGACACTACAGACCAGCAACCTGAGGTCACACAGCAGGAGATCAGGCAGAACCATGCTCCTCCACAGTCCTGGTGTCCCTCCTGCCCCAACTGTGAGTCTTTTCCTAGAGAACCAGAAGTTCCTGGGCTTCCAGGAGCCCTGTGCCTATTACAGACCACCCAGCCTATGGCTGCTCAGGACAGTCTGAAGGGTTTTGTTTTTTGTTTTATTTTGAGATAGGTCTCCTCCATATGTTACCCAGGCCAGCCTCCTGACTCAGCCTCCCAAGCAGCAGGGTTACAGGCATGCACCACTGCACCTGGCTCAGGGCAGTTTTGAAGGATGAGTAAATGAAGGGGTGGGAATCCATAACCTGAGCTACATGTGGGGCAGGAGGGAGAACATTACGCCCTTATACTGGGCTTGTACTGTCCCCAAGGTGGAGAACCCAAAGGTTGGTTCTGGGGTACACATGCTGGAATCCTATATGCAGCTATTGGGGTGGGCTCCCTTGACCTTGACCTGTACCAAGGTGGGGCCAGAGGCCCTATGAGAGAAGCCACAGTGATTTCTGCCACCCCAACACTGCTGTACAAAGCCCTGCTGGTGGGATCCCCCACCCCACCCCAGAAAGAGCCTCTGCTAGGGAAGGCTGAACAGGTGCACAGGATGGCCTGACCTTTGGTCACAAAGAGCCAGGCAAGTGAGATCCAACCCTGGGTCGGGGGCCAGGGGCCCTCCTGAGGACACTTTTACAGCTAGATGCTTGGCCCATCACTGTTGAGTGGGGCCCTCCCAAGGGGCCAGAGGCATAAAAGGGACTAGGCCCCTTGGTTGGAGCCAAGTCAGCCTGTGGGGCCGCTAAAGACTGATAACTGGACAGAGTCCTCACCAGGCGGCTCATCCTCACTCCCTCCAGCCTGGCTATGCGACCTCCGGGCCCCCTCCTGCCTGCCCTGGTCCTGCTTGTGGGTGAGTCAGCTGGTCTTACTGAGCGTGCTGCCTGGGTGCTGGGGACAGGTGCTATGCCAGTGCTGACACCAGAGTCCTTAGAGAAGGACGGCAGCCTGCCAAGGAACAAACCTCTCTGCCCGAAGGAGAGGCCCTGGGGCAATCACGGTGCATCTTCCGAGCTCTCTCTCTGCCACCTTGGATGGCAAGGCTTGTGGGGGACGCTGGATCACCCAATGCTGTGTCTCCTTGGGGGACATCCTCCTGGGAGCCCTTTTAGTTCTCTCCCGAGTGATGTGGGCTCCTGTACCTTCCTCAAGGGTGCCCCTCTTTTTTTTTTTTTAATTTATTTTAGTTGTCAATGGACCTTTATTTTACTCATTTATATGAGGTGCTAAGAACTGAACCCAGTGCCTCACACATGCCAGGCAAGTGCTCTGCCACTGAGCCACAACCTCAGCCCAGGGGGTATCCCTCTTTGAAGGCCCCATTTCCTGTGTACACCCACCTCTGCTCTGCAGCCTCTGCTTGGTCAGCGGGGCTGGGAACATGGGGAAGTGCTCTGTTTGCTCCTGACAGTTTTTTGTGGGTCCCAGGTTCTTTCCTGCCTGATCCTAAGCCCCGAATTTGGGTGCCCAGTGTCCTGCACTGCTCAGGTCCATGGAACTTCCAGTGCTAAAATCAGTCCTGGGCAAAGTGGGATGGCCAGTTACCCTGCCCAGACCCACGTGGCTGTCATTCTGCCAGCAGCATGGTCCCCAGGCTGGGCCTGGCTACTTGACTACTGCAGGAGCCCCAGCAAGGCCACATGCAACTTTGTGTGCGACTACAGGGACTGCTCAGACGAGGCCCAGTGCGGTGAGCTGGGGCCGGGAAGGTGGGCAGGCCAGTGCTGGGGTAGACATCTGACCACCCACTCTCCTAGGGTACCATGGGGCCTTGCCCATCCCGGGCACCCCCTTCACCTGCGGCTTTGAGCAGGATACCTGTGGCTGGCAGGATATTAGCACCTCGGGCTACAGCTGGCTCCGAGACCGAGCAGGAGCTATGCTGGAGGGTCCCGGGCCTCACTCCGACCACACACTTGGCACTGACCTGGGTGAGGCCCCCACAAGTCCATGTGCACTCCCACCCTCCCCTCTTGCCCTGCTGCCTATCTCCTGACCTCACCACCTGGACCAGGCTGGTACATGGCTGTGGGAACCCACCGTGGAAAGGAGGCATCCACTGCAGCCCTGCGCTCCCCTGTCCTGCAAGAGGCAGCCCCCACCTGTGAGCTGAGACTCTGGTACCATGCAGCATCTGGAGGTGTGTGCCCAAGACCCCCAGAGATCTAGGGTAGGGTGGCTCTGGAGAGGGGCTGGAAGGAGAAAGGAGGGTACCCACCCCAGAGGAGGGTGGCCAGGGTATAGCTGGCATGCTCAGGGGAGGTAGTATAGGGCTGCAACTGCTCCAGGGCCTCCCCAATTGCTGCAGATGTGGCTGAGCTGCGGCTGGAGCTGACCCATGGTACAGAGACGCTGACACTGTGGAAGAGTGCAGGACCCTGGGGCCCCAGCTGGCAGGAGCTGGTGGTGACCACTGGCCGTATCCAGGGTGACTTCCAAGTGAGCTGGAGTGCTCTGGCTGGCAGGGAGGAGTGGGGAAGGCCTGGACCCCAATGGCCCTAAGGACCTCTGCTCTCTTCAGGTGACCTTCTCTGCTACCCGAAATGCCACGCACAAGGGAGCTGTGGCTGTGGATGATGTGGAGTTCTGGGGCTGTGGGCTGCCTGGTGAGGCCACCCTGTCTCCACCATGAGGCCCTCAATACCTGCTCCCCTGCTCAGGCCACCTGTCCTTTCCCCAGCATGCCCACTTACTCCAAGGTCTTGGGGCCAGAGTAGAGGTTAACCTGCCCCCACTCAGTCCCCCAGGCCAGCTGCCCCCTGGGGCACCATCAGTGCCAGAACAAGGCCTGCATAGAGCCACACCAGCTGTGTGACAGGGAGGACAACTGTGGGGATGGCTCCGACGAAGACCTGCTTACCTGCAGTGAGGCCAGGGCCACCCAGGACTGGGCTGGGCTGGGCTGGGCAGCAGGATGAGACTGGGAGGAAGGATCCTGACCTCCAGGGTCCTTGAAAGACACTGGGGTCTGGTCTGGGAGGAAATACCTTGGCATGGTCATTCTGGAGGTGGAATAGCCAGTGTCCACTCTGGGGCTGGCCTTGTGGCTGCAGGAGGCCATAACAGCCCTGCTTCCGCCCAAGGCCACCACATGGCTACTGATTTTGAGTCAGGCCTGGGTTCATGGAACCACTCAGAAGGCTGGACCCGGAACCACAGTGCTGGTGGCCCTGAGGACCGTGCCTGGCCAAACCGAGATCACAGCTGGAACAGTGCACAGGGTGAGGTCCATGAGAACCCTGGCCATGGGCTGGAGGTATAGCTGAAATGATAGAGTGCTTGCCTTGCGTGCACAAGGCCCTGGGTTCAATCTCCAGCACCACAAAAAGAAGAAGAAGAAGAAGTAAAGAATCCTAGCCATGGCTCTGTCTGCCTTGCAACTGCCCAGCAATGCCAGTTCACACCTGCCCTCTCCCCTAGGCATGTTCCTAGTCTCCATGGCCAAGTCTGGCACCCCTGCTGTCCTCTCCAGCCCTGAGTTCCAAGCCTCAGGCTCCCACAACTGCTCGGTGAGACTTGGGGACAGGGAACACATGCAGGCTCCCCTGTCCTGTCTGCCTGAGTGCTGCAGGCCCTGACCAGCCTGAGGTCACTTACAGCTCATCTTCTACTACTACTTACATGGGTCCGAGGTTGGCTGCCTCCAGCTGCTCCTACAGATGCAGGGGCCTAGTGCCCCCCAGAACCCTGTCCTCCTGCGGAGGCACTGTGGGGAGCTGGGAGCAGTGTGGGTACGAGACCGGGTTGACATCAGGAGTGCCCATCCCTTCCAGGTGAGACTGGCCAGGTGGTGGCTGGGGGTCAAAAGGAGTGGGGTCCAGCCATTTACAAAGCACAAGTAGCATGTGAATCTGGAGTGGGTGTCCGCGAGCAGACCCCAGGGAGCACTGAGGGGCCCAGTGTGTCCCTGAGCATCCCTGCCTTCAGATCCTCCTGGCTGGGGAAACGGGTCCAGGAGGCGTGGTGGGCCTGGACGACCTCATCCTGTCGGACCACTGCAGAACAGCTCCAGGTGACCTGCCCAAATCCCTCCCCTGGCCTGCCCAGGAGAAGCACAGTGGCCCCCAACCTCCACCTGACCCCAGCTCTACCCCACAGGGAGGTCTGACCTACAGTCACTGCCTACGCGACCTTGGGTCCAGGCCCTCCAGCCCCAGCCGTCCAGCTTCTATCCCCAGGAGGTCTGTGAGCTGGGATATCTCTCTTGCGGGGACCTGTGTGTGCCCCCAGAGCAGCTGTGTGACTTCCAGGAACAATGCCCAGAGGGCGAGGATGAGCAGGAGTGTGGTGAGGCCTCCTGCAGAACCCTGCCAGTGCAGGCGCCCAGAGGCAGCGGGAGGCTCGGTGGCCATGGCCCTCCCTTTAGTACTGCTGCTGTTGCAGGCACCACGGACTTTGAGGCTGCCACGGCCGGGGGCTGGGAGGATGCCAGCGTGGGGCAGCTGCAGTGGCAGCGGGCTGCAGCCCAGGAAAGCAGGGGGCCTGGCAGGGATGCTCGCGGGGCTGCTGCTGGTGAGGCCCAGAGTCCCCAGGGGTCCTTTTGAATTGGGGGTCCTTGAGCAACAGAGTTGTGGCCTGGAAGGAACAGGACTGTGAGTGCCTTGCTTCCCCGCCCAGGGCACTTCCTGTCTCTACAGAAGGCCTGGGGGCAGCTGAGGCCTGAGGCCCGGGCCCTCACATCCCCCCTGGGCCCCTCAGGCCCCAACTGTGAACTCCACATGGCTTACTATTTCCACAGTCACCCCCAAGGTACAGCCCACCGGAGGTCCTCTGCCCAGTCCCAAGACACCCCTACATGGAGGGAGGGGTCTGGGGAAGGCTCACCCACCGGGACCCCTCCCTCCAGGCTTCCTGGCACTGGTGGTGTTGCAGGGCAGCTCCCGGGAGCTGGTGTGGCAGGCCCCAAGCAGCAGCACAGGAGACTGGACGGTGGACAAGGTCCTTCTTGGAGCACGCCACCGGCCATTCCGGGTAAGAAGGGCAGTCCAGAGTGTGGGATGGGCACAGGCCTGGCCCTGACCTAAGACCCTTTCTTCTACCATGTTGAAGCTGGAGTTTGTCAGTCTAGTGGACTGGGACATCCCTGGCCAGCAGGGGGCCGGGGTGGACAACGTGACAATGAGGGACTGCAGCCTCACTGCAACCACTGAAAAAGACCAAGGTCTCTCCTGTCCACATCTCACCTCCACCAGGGGGCTCCCAACGCACCTCCAGGGACCCCCTAGAGCCTTTACCACCCAGGGCTCAGGAGGGATGTGTGGGTGGATGGGGTGCTGACCCCACCCTGCCCCCAGAGGTTTCCTGTAACTTTGAGCGGAATACCTGCGGCTGGCACATGGGCCACTTCACAGATGCCCACTGGCGTCGGATACAGAGCCATGGCCCTGGGTATGACCACACCACTGGCCAAGGTAAGAGGGCCTTCAGGCCCGGGGGCCCTTGGCCCTGGGAGCGCATCTCTGAGCCCAGCCTGTGCCTCTCCTGCAGGTTTTTTCATGCTCCTGGACCCCACAAATCCCCCTGCCCGTGGCCGTGCTGCCCACTTGCTCACACGACCCCAGACCCCAGCAACCCCCAAGGAGTGTCTCAGCTTCTGGTATCACCTGTATGGACCCCAAATTGGTGAGCCTTGGAGCTGGCAGGGCCTCCATGGATGCCCCAGGAATCCAAGAGGTGTTTGGTGCCTGCTGGGGCCTCAGGGGTCAGCAGTTGGGGCTGATCCCCACAAACCCCACCACCCTGCAGGGACCTTGCGCCTAATCATGAGGAGGGATGGGGAGGAGGACATGCTGCTATGGTCGCGGTCAGGCACCCATGGCAACCGCTGGCACCAGGCTTGGGCCACCCTCCATCACCAGCTAGAGCCTAGCACCAAGTACCAGGTAAGCCTAGTGCCAGGCAAAGGGGTACAGGGGGCAGGCCCCAGCCAGCTGACGCCCTCTACCCCCAGCTGCTGTTTGAGGGCCTCCGGGATGGGTACCATGGCACCATGGGGCTGGACGACGTGGCTGTGCGGCCTGGGCCCTGCTGGGCCCCCAGGCACTGCTCCTTTGAGGACTCTGCCTGCGGCTTCTCAACTGGAGGACAGGGCCTGTGGAAGCGCCAAGCCAACGCCTCCTGGGGCCCCCAGACAGACCATACCACAGAGACAGCCCAAGGTACTGAGCCTGGCAAGGGGTGGGTGGAGGACATCAGCCAGGGGCAGGCAGACTGATGCTGGCCACTCCCCAGGGCACTACATGGTGGTGGACACAAGCCCAGTCGCTCTGCCTCAGGGCCACGTGGCCTCCCTGACCTCAGAGGAGCACCAGCCCCTGGCTCAGCCCACCTGCCTGAGTTTTTGGTACCACCTAAGCCTCCACAACCCAGGTGAGGAGCTGTGGGCAGGGCCTGGGGAGTCAGTGCTGGGCTGGTGTCCCACAGGCCCTGTGCAGGGCTGGGGCACTGTGTGGATGTCTTCCCCCACTGGCCCTGGCCTGGCAGGCACTCTGCGAGTCCACGTGGAGGAGGGCAAGAGACGCCAGGTGTTCAGTGTTTATGGCCACGGTGGGCTTGCCTGGCGCCTGGGCAGTGTGGATGTGCAGGCTGGGCAGGCCTGGAGGGTGAGTGCCTGGGCCCTAGGGGGCAGGGATCCTGGTTCCCCCTGAGCAATGTGTGGTCAGACTGCAGAGTGCCTGGCCTGACCTGCAGGTGGTGTTTGAGGCCCTGGCTGCTGGCATGGAACACTCCTACATCGCACTGGACGACCTTTCCCTTCAGGATGGGCCCTGTCCTCGGCCAGGTGGTGCCCTCCTGCCCCTCCCTGGCAGGGGCCAGTGCCCTGGGATGGTCAATGGGGACAGCTCTGCTCACTAGCTGGTTCTTACAGGGTCCTGTGACTTTGAATCTGGCCTGTGTGGCTGGAGCCACCTGGCCTGGCCTGGCTTGGGCAGGTACAGCTGGGACTGGAGTGGTGGAGACACCCCCTCCCGTTACCCACTGCCCACTGTGGACCACACCCTAGGCACAGAAGCAGGTGTGTACTGGCCAGAGCAGGGGACCAAGCTGGGGCAGTGACTACCCAGCCACACAGCCACTCTGCCATGGCACCACATGGCATTGCCTGCTCTTGGTCCTTAGGCCAAGGACCACAGGTAGGGTCAAGGGGACAACTTGGCACCCTGGCCTTTTATTTCCAGGCCACTTTGCCTTTTTCGAAACTAGTGTGCTGGGGCCAGGGGGTCAGGCGGCCTGGCTGCGCAGCGAGCCTCTGCCAGCCACTACGGCTTCCTGCCTCCGCTTCTGGTACCACATGGGATTTCCTGAGCACTTCTGTAAGTTGGGCTGGGCCTTTGGATGCCTGGATGTGGGGAGAGGGGTCAGAGAGGTCTGGGGCTCCACTTCACACGAGGCCAGGCACCTGACACCCCAGCCCCCACTTCCAGACAAGGGAGAGCTAAGGGTGCTCCTGAGCAGTGCCCAGGGCCAGCTGGCTGTGTGGGGAAAAGGTGGACACCTGCGGCACCAGTGGCTAGAAGTCCAGGTTGAGGTGACCAGCACCGAGGAGTTCCAGGTGAGACACTGCACCTCAGCTGAGCTGCCCTCCCTCTTCTCTCCCTCTAATTCCTCACCCCTTTCCTTCCCCATCAGATCGTGTTTGAAGCCACTCTGGGTGGTCAGCCAGCTTTGGGGCCCATTGCTCTAGACGATGTGGAGTACCTGGCCGGGCAGCATTGCCAGAGGCCTGCACTCAGTCAGGGTAAGAACTGGGTTGCAGGTTGGAGACAGTTCCAAGGAGGCACCCTGCACACCGCCCAGGAGAATCCCAGGCCAGCCCTGTGTCCTCCCCACCTACCCCACTAACCCTCAGGGCCCCTCCCCAGGCTTGCCTCTGGCTGTGCTCCCTGGGCCCAGTGCAGGGCCAGTCCTTGGCATAGTTGTAGACGGCTGAGGGCCACGACCCCCAGCCTGCTGCTGTAGCCTGTGTAGACAGTATCAACACTCTCTCATTTGAAGAGGGTGAACTCAGAGCCAGCAGGACTAGTGGAACCAGATAGCCCCAGGATTAATCCTCACCCCCAGGCATGGCGGGTGATTGGTGTGAAGGGCTCTTGTGTCCTCTGGCCCACAGGAGGCATGACAGCATCCATGATGGTGCCAGCCCTGGTTGGAGGGGCCCTCCTCTTCCTCATACTCCTGGTGCTGCTGGGACTTGGGGGACGCCACTGGCTGCAGAAGGGAGGCTGCCCCTTCAGGAGTAACAAGGACGTGGCAGCACCTGGCTTTGACAACATCCTCTTCAATGCGGTAGGAGCCCCCAGGTGTGAGCGGGTGGGGCCTGCCTTTGGGCTTGCTGACTGCAGAGAATGGGCCTCAGTGGTGGGTCAGGACCCCAAGGGAGAGCCCCACCCATCCAAGCCCTGCAGCACCCTCTGCTGCCCTTGCCTCTCAGTGGTTGTCACCAGGCTCCTCCCTCCTTTCCAGGATGGAGTCACCCTCCCAGCACCTGCCACCAGCAGCTCATAGACCATCCCAGACAAGGATCTGGCCCCTGAATGCACTTGGACCTAGCCCCAGGCTGGATCCACCTTCATCCCCAGATACCTGACCTCTCCTGAGGCTGGTTTTGGGGGCTCAGAGGACACAGAGCTTCCACAGCCCTCCCCTGTCCAGTCACTGCCCACTTGTATGGCACAGGGTGCTTGCTCCATGAATAAATGCTCAGTCCTGAGGACTGCCCAAGTTTTCAAGCTGAGATCAGTTATCCATGCATTTCTGGCCACTGGGTGAGTAGCCCTCCTCAGGATTCCAGACCAGACCAAAGAGAGACCCCAGGAAACATGCTTGGGGCCATACAGCTCAGGACCAAGGATGACTCACTCTCTCCCATGTGCCTCACATGAGGCAGGCAGGGCCACAGACACAGGGCAGCCTTCAGGACCTGGAGCCACTGTTCAGATCCACCAGGTCCAAGGCCCCAAGGGTCTGTAAGGGTCCCACCTGCTCTGCTCTCCAGCCTCTGCCTTGTGGGGATGCGAGTCACCTGCAGCAGGGACACTGACGGTGACAGCACACGGACATGGTGACATGCAGCTGGCTTGGTGGGCGCCTGGCAACCACAACCCCCCACAGCTCCCCCAAGCCTACTATACAAGCCCCCACCCCAAGATAAAAGGCTGAGTAATCCCAGGTTGAGGGGTGAAGCTGAGGACACCAGGGTTCCTATGGTACTGGAGCAGGGCCCAGGCAAACTGCCTTTGGCCTTTGGACTAGAGAAGGGGACCCTGCATGCAAGCGTGTGAACAGACTTGACTGTGGTCCTAAGGAAGCTACGTTGACACCTCTGCCCCAGGGGGGTTCCGGGAGCTCTGGTCTTCCACCTCAACTTGGCCCTGCTGCAAGGACTTGGGGCCTTGCAGGTTGTCCTCAGACAGGGCAGTGACACCCACACTGTGCTGTCAGGTACTGCCTTCCTGCCACTCCAGACACCACATGCCCCAAGGAGCCAGATGGGCTCTTGCCTGTCCCAGGGCTCAGCGAACAGAGGCGCAAGCAGGGCACAGCCAGGCATTGCCCTGTGTCTGCAGGCGCCATAAGGTTGATGGATGCCCAGTCAATGTCTGAGCAGATGGGTAAAAAGGGGAGAAATAAATCTTTAAACCTTGGGTCCCAATGGGGTGTCTGTCATGAAGCTCACCTGTGGGACACAATCCCCCCCACTGAAGCCCAGTTAGAAGAGCAGGCTGAAGGCCACAGGAAGGGCACATGCCCATGGACTCTTTAAAGCTAAAGCAGAGAAAGCAGCACAGAGGCTGTGCCCCGGCCCATCTTCCGGACTCCCCGGGGCTCCCCAAGGCTCCCCAGGGCTCCCCAGAGCTCCATGCTGCGGCTGCTCTGAGCACATGCCCAGGGCAGGAAGGCGCTGCTCTGCACGTGGTCTGAGGGATGAGGGCAGGGAGGAAAGAGCCAGGAGGAGCCAGCACTCTGCAAGGTTTTGCTTTGTTTGACAGCAGGTATGGGTTGAGGGCCCACAGGCCTGACCCCATGTTCCGCTTGTCATGTGAGAAGACCCACGTCAGTGCTGGTGGTCAGGGGAACCAGCCAGAAGAGCAGCCGGAACGCACTGTTTCGAGGCTTTGTGCTCATTTCGCCCGCGGGCCCTTCTCGATGGGCTTCCCGATGTCCTTCCCCCGGAGCTTGAGGCCTGCAACAAGCCAGGACCCTGCTCACCACTCTGCAGCGCCAGAGTGCCAGCCTGTCAATCCCAGGTTGGCAGCAGGTGTCCATTCCGCCCTGGGCCCCAGCTCCCTTCCTCATTTTCCTGGGCCTGCCTGGGGAGGGGCTACCTCATTCCTGGCAGGGCTTTGCACACAGGCATGACTAACTTTTGCATCTAACGTTTAAAAGCATGAACTGCTAATTTAGAAAGAAGGGGACAAACATCTTATCCCAGAAGAGCCCCTTGTTCAGCTACGGCAGAGGGGCACTGTGGAGCAGACTGTGGTGTGTGGCTAACACCTTGGAGGGCAGATCCCAGAAGGCCATGGTCCCTCTGTACTCAGCTCAGGGAGAATGCTGGCTGGCAGCCAGAGGGAGATATAGGGCCAAGAACCTGTGACACTATTTCCTTAGGGCTTCAAACAGCACAGGCAGAATCCTAGTGGCCTGACCTCAGACAACACGGCCCCAGGTGCTCCCATCCTACCACCTCCCAGGAGAGTGCTGCCCCTGCCAGGACTAAGCCAGAGGACACTCACCAATGGCTCTCTCGATTTTCCCCAGAACCTGGTTATTTGGAATGGCTCTTCCACTCTCGTAATCTGCGATGACTTGCGGCTTTTCATTGATTTTCTGAAGAGAAGGTGTGCCTTAGATGCACCAACCCAGTGGGGTGTGCTGCAGAAGCCAAGTCAGCCCCCACAGGGCAGCCAGCTTCCGGAGGCTCAGGCCTTACCCTGAGCAGCCAAGTCTCAGGAGAGCGAGCCGCAGCTGCTCTGACCTGGCTGCCCTGGAAGCTTTGGGTGCAAGCCCAGACTGAAGGCCTGAGAACCACCAGGTGGTGAGCCCACCCCACCCCAGCTGAGCATCAGTTCCGGGCCTCCCCAGGCCCACAGCTGCCAGAGCCTCACCGTGGCCAGGTCCTTCTGTGTCAGCCCCTTGCTCTGCCGGCCCCGCTGGATCACTTTGCCCACCTCCAGGGTCACCCTGTCATGGTGCAACTCCTCTGTCTCCCGGTCCAGCTTGGCTGTGTTCTTGGTGATCGAATGCTGCTTGTTCTGGCCAGCAGCCCCTGTGGTTCAGTATGAATAGAGCAGAGGAAAAAGTTGCAACTGACACAAGGAAAAAGCAATTTCAGAATGTTGATCAGACCAACAGGCTTCCCAGGCCCACGGTGACACTGGCCCCAAACTCACAGACCTAAGAACACATACTACCAGAGCTGACTGACAGCTTAGGAAGTGGGTGGAAGGTAATGGTCTGGCTGACCTCACACCACCCCCAGCTCTCCAGTGCTCCTGACACAGGGCCTCAGCACTGCCTAGCCACTGCACAGCATGGCAGATGACCCTGGCAGCATGTTCGCATTTTGCAAGTGGAGACACGGGTACCTACATTTCTTGGACGTCTCCACATCTTCTCCTCGTCTCTGAGCTGCTAAGATGGCCTAGAAAGTTAGAGAACGGTCTCTGATCAAAACCAGCTTCAGAAGTATCAGGCACACAGTGTCAGCTGCTGTGAGTCAACCCGCACTCCACCAGCAGCTCTGAAGGGCTAACGTGATGCTGGGCCCCACAGGGCAAGCTGGTCACAGTGGTCCCACAGCCACGGCTTTGCAGCCTATGGTCTGGTTCTATTTTTTCTATACTAGGGATTGAACTTGGGCACTCAACCACTGAGCCACATCCCCAGCCCTTTTTTATATTTTATTTAGAGACAGGGTCTCACTGAGTTGCTTCACTCTTCACCCTTGCTGAGGCTTGGCTTTGAACTCATGATCCTCCTGTCTCAGCCTCTTGAGCCACTGGGATTACGGGTGTGTGCCACTGCGCCTGGTGCTTCCCATGTTTTAATCACCCATGATCAACCTCAGTCCAAAATGTTATATGGAAATGCCAATAATAAACATAAGATTTAAACTGCATGTTCTGAATGTGTGATAAAATTTCATGTCCTCAGCACTCTGTACTACTGAGACACAAATCCTTCTGCCTGGCACCCATTTTTCACTCAGAGCCTTCCCGGTTATAAGATCAATTGCCAAGATGTTGACACAGTGGCGCCTGTGTTCATGTAACCCGCACATAGTACCCTAATGCCCCTGCACAGGTCTCTGTGGTTCACTTCCTCTCCTCATGTAGGTACTGCATCGTCTCACTTCAGCACAGCAAGGTATACACAGGAGAGACCACGTTCACATTCACGTAACTTTTACTACAGTACATGGACATCCCTATTGGTCTTACTGTGCCTAATTCTTACATTAAACTGCCATAAATTTGTATGAATAGAAAACAGAGAGCACACAGGGTCCAGAATTCCCCAGAGTTTCAGACATCCACTAGGACCTAAGGATGTGTCCCCTGAAGACAAAGGGGGCCACTGTACACAAGCACTTTTCAATCAAATACATAGATAACTCCCAATAAACTGCTACTAAGAAACAGTTCACTTCTTTTGTATTAAAAAAAGAGACTATTGGATTCTTTTTAGAAATTCATATTTGAAATAGAGTTACTTCTCTAACAACTCTGCAAAGCAGAAAGGAATGCCTGCTGGCCTGGTGTTGCCTCCTCCGAGTCTGACTCCTAATGAGACAGATGACGCATCCCACAGAAACCTGCAGTCTCCCTGGAAACATGACCAATAGCAGTGATTCTGTGGGGTCCATGGTCACTGAGCATTAACATAGGGCATCTCTTCATGCTTCAAAGAAGTAACTTGTGAGCCATTCTAAGTGTAATATGTTCAAAGATGCTTTTCAAACAGTTCATGTGACTCCAGCTTGTGGATATTAAGTTTCCTTGAAAAGAGAGTAAATTTGGTTTTGACTGTGCAACTGATAAGCCCAAGATTAGTGGAGAATGCCTGACTCCAGGACCCCAGCCCTTCCAGGCCTGGCCTGTACTGTGTATCTAAGACTCCAGCCAGAGCCTTTCCAGATGACATGGATGCACCAATGACCACTGGAGGGATGTGCTACAGTAGTAACCTCCTGCCGCTCCTGCCTCCAGCACCACTCAGGACACAGGATCTCCTCTCTCTGCACGACAGAAAGGCAGAGTCCACCTGCCAGCAGGGCCTCGGGCCGCCCCGACCCAGACAGCACCTCCCATGGCCCATGTTGCACCTAGCTGGGCTCTGTGGGCAGCAAACCACTGACACAACCTGTAGGCGCCAGGAGAGAGAAAACCCTCAGGGGGGAGCCTGCCCCTCAGTCCACCGCTGGTCCCCACACCCCCACCCCAGGTTCTCTGCCCTGTTTTCGCACCTGTACCCGATGGGGCCCCAACTCCACAGTAGTCCCCTGCCGCAGCGCTGAGTTTTTATTTCAGCACTGAGTTCTTATTCCGTTCTCCAACCCCTGACCCTTGTCCCCAGCCTTGCCCAAGTCTCCTTGCCCTCTGCCCCTAGTCCCTACCCCCACCCGACTCCTCTCCAGGGTCCCCAGGGCTCCCACCCCACGGTTCCTGTTGCGGATCCATCCCATCTCGTCGAAATTCCCACGCCTGCGGTCTTCAAGCCCCCCCCGTCCCC